CACAGACTCAATGGGAAGGCCAATTTCACTGGCCGAGACTCATTCACTAATGAATGCGACTTTGGGGAAACCTCGGTTAAGGTCCGCAGGTGCTTGTGTTCGACCGAGCCTGGTTGACGCCAGGATAGCACATTAAATTGCCATTTGATAGGAAGATGGCCGCACAGCCCTGTCATGCAGTCCCAAATATGAATATAACTTCTGTGGCAAAAATGCACCATGTGTCAGCACTAGCACTTGCAATTTGCACATACAAAAAAAAGTCAGGAGAGACAACAGTGACATTCAAAAAACATTTAAAAAGATCATGCATCAAATTTCAGTGAGTCATTAGGACTATGATGTAAAATACAAATTATATTTATTTGTCCTTGGCATGCTACAGATATTTAGATCAGACGCGAGTCTTCATGATTCATGCGTATCAGAAAAACTGTCAGGTGAGTGATGTTTTATACAAAAACAGTCGATGTAAAACTTACCTTATTTTGCTTATTTCCACCTTGTCTGTTCGACCTATAACCACCTTTATGCGGGTAACCCTGAGGGTACGGAGGGGGTAGTTGGTGAGGTTGGTAGCCAGTCACATACGGGTTGATTGGGTACCCAGGATAATAGCCCGGATAGGGTAATGGAGGCTGTTGTTGTGGGTAAAACTCTGAATGCGGGTTGCCGTAGGGTTGATGTGGATAGTGGTGCTGTGCGCCTTGCTGCCACCTGACGTCAGTGATACAACTGAAACCAATAAGAATTCAAACAAAGATGAGAAAACCAAGTAGCAACAATACATTGTTGGTAGCATGTCTATATAGTTATTTGGCAAAGCTAAAAAAAAACAAAAAGCAAGTAAAGAAGAAGAAAAAAAGATGCGCTGCGACATTAAGCTCACTCACATGATTGAAAGTTTCAAAAAACAGTGCTTACAGTCGTCAGAATAGTCAAGAAAACACAATAGCGAAGTCGGTCATCAGAAAAACCCCTAAACAAGCATTGGTACGTTATACATTGTATGCACTACTGTATTCGCCACTATAACTTTTCGAATGATGTAAATGTGGTTATTGTTGCGTTTATAGAATGTCTGAATTACAGATCAATTATTAACCCTGTTTCTGCCTTTTATTTAAAACCACATCAAAATCCAATCTTTTATAGAACCAAAAGGCAAGAGTTTTTTTGTTTTTTTTTGCCATATGCCATATGCATTTAGGTTGGAAATGCAGGCGAATGTAAATCTGTATGAATGTGAATTTTGTAGCGCACAGCGTCACAACATATTTACTGTCACCAGGACCACACAAATAATTTTTTTTTTTTTTGGCCTATAAGCACACACATACTGCTGTTCCTCTGAGCATTATTTTAACAACAAGGCGAGTAGAGAGTCATAATGTGCCGAACCCCCAGGTGATATCAGACAACGGAAACATATGCCATAGCAGTAATCACGCCAACCACGCATTTACATATTTACCGACAACATGTATCTATACCTCGCCACCCGAACAGAGTTTGTGACTAATATGACAGTGGAAAGTGAAAATAAAACTGTAAAAAGATCTACAAACCCTAAACGGTTCTGCATACATGCCACATGTGTTTACGAATCCACATACGTTGACTGTACCAGCGTGTATCATTATCTGTATGCATCTTTGTATTTACATTGTAGAGATAAGATGGCTGCACGGTATGTGAGCCAACATGACCACCTAAAGGTCACACATCCTGGTACTTTTGTGTACCATGGTGAAAAATGACCTGAATGTTGACAGCCTGGTACTTTTGTACCATGGTGAAAAATGACCTAAAGGTCACATATCCTGGTACTTTTACTACCTTGGTGAAAACATGACCTAAAGGTCACACATCCTGGTACTTTTCTACCTTGGTGAAACACGACCTAAAGGTCACACATCCTGGTACTTTTCTACCTTGGTGAAACATGACCTGACGGTCACACATCCTGGTACGTTTAAATATAATATTTAAACTCAACCTAAAGTTTGCTGACAGCAAAAACATTTTTTATGGCATTCACAACTCTTACAATTGATCTAATAAGACCCTTCAACTTACCTGTCTTGAACAAAAGGATAACAATTTATCATATAACTAGGGAGTTCACCAATATTAACATTGCTATTTTGATCTTTAGATGCATTATTCAAAGCTGAAGGCAAAGAGGAATCTGAATAGTGTTGCTGTGGCAACGATTTGTCTCCTGTTGTACCGTCCCCAAGACGATTTGGAACAAACGGCTCCACCTCGGCAGATAGCGTCTTTGCCTGAAGAAAGACATAAAAAAAAAAAAAAGTTGGATATAAAATCGTAATCATGGTGCCCAGGGAAACCTGGAGCTTGCCCTGTTTTCGTTTAACTACTATAATTACATCACAACTAGAACCTAAAAATTTATTTACTAAAACAAGTTTGTTTTTTTTTTAAATTGATGTTCACATTTTACACGAGTTCTGCATAGATATAATCACATGATCACAGTTGTCTACCCCGACTTCTAGGAATCCTTCCGTTGCCACGGGTTACTACCCAAGGTGGAGATGTGAATATTATTCTGTACAGATGCGAATACACCCTCTCTACAACTTGCATGTTTTTATCAACATCCCTTTTTTTGTGTGTGTGTGTGTGTTTCATGACGTACATGTAGATGACGTACATGTAGATGAATAAAATTTTGTTTTCGTTATGTAGTTGTTTATCATTTAAAATATAGACTGTTGCCCTGTGACAAATGTTACTCACTGATGAGCACTAGATCACAATCTACTGTGACAACACTGTCTGTAAGTTGTTTTTACTAACAGGAACACATACAATGTATGTACATTTACAGCAGACGCTAACTAGATTTGTACGGTTAACTGCAACTTCCCTAGGAAAGTCCTCAAAATCAAATAACCCCATCAACTTCTCTCAGGTGATTGAATCAACCGCAATTAAGATTCATACAGATAATTTATTCCATTTGTACAGTCACAACAATATTAATATGAAAACTATCAAAATCAGTATACTGTAGAATACTTAATTTTCGCTGAAGGGATGTTTCCGTGAAAATAAAATCCAGCGAATATACTTCTTTTCCTATATTTCACATTAAACTCATCAAAAATAAGTGAAAATAAATTCCACACAAAACTCCCAAAAAGCCTTTTCAGCGAAAATTAATTCCAGCGAAAATAAAGTATTCCACAGTATATTAAATCAAAACAATATGGATGCTATGGCCGGTTTACCTTCCAATTATTTATATAACTGAAGCATTTTGTCACATGCTTGGTATATTGAATGTACAAGCACTCGTACGAATCAGACCGTACAACCTGACAAATGAGCATGGGGGCTGCTTATACATTGTTGACCAACGCTGACATACTAGGGACTATTGTTTTCCCCACAAAATATATATAGAACACAAGTCTGTTGCTAGAATAATTTAGACATAATCATTAAAAGACTTTTTAATGCCTGTAGTTACATTTATGTTGTGAGTAAAAAAAAAATATGAATTTACGTTGAAAACATTACTGGTATAATGCGTTGGAATCATATGATACATACATCAAAGATGTCATGTTTTGGAACAATTTTTGTTTAAATTCACTAGATAGTAATAATTTCTGTGTTATATGTTTCACAAAAATGTTTGAATTAAATTAAATTTAATTCTTTTTTTGAAGGTCAACATTGACAACCATGGAAGGGGGGCTAAAAGTTTGATGCGCCGATTAGATTTTTCAAATTTTGTGATGGTAGAAATGAAAAGTGATTTAAAAGTAAACCACATCCCGTTCAACACAAGATCTTGCATTACGTGTGAAATAGAACGTATAAACAGTACAAAGGTCATAGGTTAGTAATGAAGTCAAAACATCTTGTGGGATTCAAGAATCCTGAAAATATTTTGGGGGATATTTTCACACTTATCAATGTGCTATGCCATAAACATTCGACGATAAAATGCGGGTAGTTCGATGCAATATTCCTATCACAAAAAATATATAAAAATTAAATTTTAATTCAAATCGCCAGATTTTTGCGGCAGATGCATCTTTCACACAATATGGAAGATTGGGTAATGAACAATAAAAATCACCTTTTTTTTTTAAGAATGACTAAGTCTGAAAGTGTCAGCATGTGAAATTGGAACTAAACTGTCGCATCATAATAGTTCTATCTCAGAATGTTTCAACAATGAAATATCCACTGCTATTTTCACCTTTCCCCAAGGTGTTAGCTAGCCACCCACCAAACGGACTGGCAACTTTAATTTTAGACTGGCAATTTTTCCCATTTTTCTGTTTTTTCCTATTGTTCTTTGATAATTTTACCAAAATATATCCAAAACCATCTACATTTTCATCAAGTTGAATTGTTTCGGACTGGCAGTTGCAAATTCCTGGCTAATAGCCTGCTGATCACCAACTATGAAAACTCTCAAAGTGATTCAGTAAATTCTTGTACTTTGGTTTATACATTAGCGACAACTCCCATTGAATGCACAAATTGCTACAACAAACAAACTGTATCATAGCAACAACATACTCACAG